TTACCTGACTATATTTAGAGAACTGAAAGATGATTTTCACATATAAGTCTTTCTTCTTAGTCGTGAGATATGGTTGTTATCCCCCACAATCTGATTTTAAAACTGCTGTGTAACTTTCTTCAGATGTAAAAGACAGCAATCAAAAATATCTTGCACTGTACAAGAGGGTACTAATGTGGAGATGAACGAATACCACCAAGATGGAACTTTCTTTCAAAACCCAAATGCAGATTCCAAGCTATGATGATATGGTGATTGCAAAACTTTAGCCTTAGACAATGCTGAGAACCCAGGACCTCAGTCTTGAGGGAATTTGGGCAGTGTGATTCGAGAGAGCCTAGTACTAAGGTTAACAAAACTTTGTACCCAATGCTTTGTGCATTGAATGTGTATGTGTTGGGAAATATGGCATGCTTAGTAATTTTGGAAGGACCACAATCTTGGACAAAACGTCTTGGGACTTTCGCATGAGTTTGGGATGTCCATCCACGCTGTTCATAACTACCCTTGTTCGTCCATATTTGTTCTGCCTAAACCCCTTCTCCCACTTTCAATGTTGTAGTTGTGAGGTTGACGGTTTGCTGTCGGCACTGTGGCAGTGCAAGGAGGCGGTTTCGAGTGTAGACGATCAACTATAGACGATCGATACCCTATAGCACGAAACATGATTCCCATTCAAGCATTTTTTCCAAGATTGTAATCGTTTTTAGTCATCTTAAAATGAATCAAACCATTATTTGGAATTCCTTTCACTAGTTTTGCTTTCCATTCATCAAATAGGTTTGATAATGTTTTTTTAGATTTTTGATAGTTTGGATATTATTTCAACGTGTGGCACAAGTATATTTCAACGTGTGGCACGCCTAAAATCCTCAGCCATAACACATCCAGGTAGTGACTCAGTTTGTTGGTATACTAAAAAATTGTTATACTATGATGTGATTTAACAAATGTGACAAATAAATTTTTTGGAATAAAAAAGTTTTGATTCCGTTATGTTGAATGATTGCGTTGCATGATGGTACTAACGGTAAATAGGGATGGAGAAGGTGAAAGCTCAGTCGCGAATTCCGTGTCCGTATTGTCAAATAAAGGGATTTAATTTCTTAAGATTTAGTACTTTAATGTTTTTTATATTCATTTTATTTAATATTATTATTGTTTTAATATTATTTTTTACTATGCTTTTTTTAAACTGTAAAGCAAGCCATCTGTTGGATAAGGGAGTGCTGCTATCTGTCTTTTGCTTGCCTCAAAACCTAGTGAAGGTGTGTGATGCGATATAAAATTGAGACCTTTGCTAGTGTTGGGCTGTCTCAATGGTGACGACCGTGTTGTAAATCTGATACATCACTAGTATCAGTCACCTGACCAAATAGATAGTTCTTATTGGAGAAAAGTTCATGAATTATTAATGAGGTTCCTTATGGCAATTACCTGGAGCACATTAGTAGTAATGCATTTCGTTTTTTGAATCCTGTTTGCAGTCTTACAGCGGCTTTTGGAATAGCGGTGTTGTGTTTCAAGCTATCTCATGTTATGGTGTCAGCGTCGCCATATGTGATGAATCTTGTGACATCCTTTTTGAAGTATTGTATTTTTGAAGTTGCTATTCGATAGTCGTGAAAATATTTTGAATGTATTTGTATTCCATTTTCCTGTGCTAAATTATTGGACAATTCTAAAACACTGAGTCTAATTTGCGTCGACTTGATTCAAGTGTCTGTTTACTCGTATTACATTCCTTGGATGCCTGGRYCTCTACTTCCTTGTCRAAGAAGGGTCAGACAAGATCGATTTCACTTTGGATGCGAAGGAGTATATGCATGGACAAAGATGTTTTGGCTTTTGATATGTATTTTACTGAGCTTTGGCACCGTAACAATCGAAGGTAAGTGAAATCATGTAATTCGCATGTATCAGCAAAGTTTCAGAGTGACAAGCGTGAATAAACTCGAGTAATTCAACGCAAACGTTTGCGGTTGTCAAGCATTTCGGAGAGGATAACAACTAACGCGAGGCTCAACTAGAAGTCAGTTTACCGCTCGAACGGCCACTGAAATATTCAGATAAAGACAGGCGCTTTGGTAGATTTTCCTATTTTCATAGGTTAAACAACAAAAATACCGAGAACCACTTCGTAGAACACATCGTGTCCAGGTTACGTTAAGTGTATATAATATTGCCATGGAATATTCTTTTATCAGCGACCAGACTGATTTAATAGATTCGACGCATAATCTTTTTCCATCATTTCTTCTGAATATTGTACATTTACACGAAATGAAACTCTTTGAACATGACAAAGATCCGCCGCTTGTCCATGTGTTTATAGTCTATAATATGCCTGATCAAATCAGAGCAAAACATGTTCTGATGATAAAACTGCTAGGAACTCTCTYGGAACAGTAGTCCCATTTTTGAACTGTGGATATGCTATTACGAAATGAAGAAACTAGAAGTAACTAGAAGTAATATGTTTCTTTATTCGAATCCACAGGATGTGGCAAAGATCTAACTGGAGAAAGCGGTCAGTCCTCATTTGATCCATCTTCTTGCGTTTATTGGAAGTCAAACTACACGTTGACGATYGGYAAAGGCTTAAAGAACATCAGTTTCATTGTCATCAAATTCGAGCCGTTTAATCTAGGATGCACGTAAGTCATGTAAAGCTTACTCGTTTTATAGCTATCAGGCCACAGACTTATCAGACTATTGACTTTTGCCAGCTATTATCGGCCGAAAGCCGCTAAAATCTATTAGACGATTTTCAACATCGATAGAGTACAAACACTAAATGTGTGCAACACTTTCCACTATTTACTACAAAGTAGTATTCAACAATAGAAAACAATAGAATTAGCATAATTTAGCAGTATTTAGTGGTATTTATGTTACACAGTTTTAGTGTTTGTACTCTATTTGGGGTTTAATATTTTCTAGTTTTCTAGTTCAGAAATATACTCTAATGCTTTCTAAAAGCAAATGAATTATGATCCTTATTGCTGTCTGATGCTTTTAGTACGTAAATGATCTTGCATGATCCCCAGTGTAGTAATCCACATGTGAAAACTGGTATGAAAACTGTAATGGATGCAGTGCCTAAATAGCATTCGACAAAAAAATAGACACTAACTACATGAGAGTTTGTAGCAAACACTTTGCAGTCAAAATATGACTGTCAAAGTGTAACGTTATTGCTTACACAGCAATTTTCTAAATCTAATGTGAACACGAGAAAACGTGTTAACTAGCCAAAGCCTCGCTTTGGTTCTTCACCAACATCTTTGAAAAAGGCTTTTGCACTCACAAAGCGTTAAAAAAAACTAAAAGATAAATGCGAAAAAAAGCTCAAATACCGATGTCGAAAATGACCTAACTTTGAAGAGATTTCAACGGCTTTCGGCCGATAATCGCCATAGGAGGCCTGGTGCCGACTTCTCTTCTCAATATCGAAATGAARGAAAGTTATAGTGCTTAGAAGGGGGTAATTCCAGATGA